CTCTTTCGCACAGGGCCGGCTTGTTTCGAGGAGGAGCCGTCGTTCCTTCATGTTTTGCTGGATGTTCCCTGGTTCGTGACAGTGCGGCTTCTCCCAGAGGCTTGCGTTTTTTGCCACATGGGGCTGGCCCTGTCCCTGCTCGGCCCCTGCATGGAATATTGCGAATGGCTGGCGTGTTTCCGGGGGGAAGCCTGGTATGCGTGCCCCCATACACTCACACTTTGCCCAGAGCTGGCTCGATTCTAGGCACAACCTGGGCTTCCCCTCCCCCTCCCGTCTCCTCCTCCTTCCATGTTCGCCCATCCCGGTTACCCTGCCTTTTGCTTGTCCGTTTTTTTGTTTACGTTTCTTCATGCTCCTTCGCACAGGGCGGGCTTGTTTCTAGGAGGAACCGTCGTTCCCCATATGTTTTGTTGGATGTCCCCTGGTTCGCGACAGCGCGGCTTCTCCCAGCGTTTTCTGCCGGATGGGGCTGGCCCTGTTCATGCTCCCCCCTGCAAGGAGTATTGCGAATGGCCGGCGTGTTTCCAGGAGGAGCCCTGGTGTGCTCGCCCCCTGCGTACACAGTTTGCCGAGGGCTGGCTTGTTTCTAGGCACAACCTGGTCCTCCCCATCCCCCTCCCCTCTCCTCCTCTTTCCATGTTCGCCCATCCCGGCTACCCAGCCTTTTGCTTGTCCGTTTTTTGTATACGTTTCTTCATGCTCCTTCGCACAGGGCGGGCTTGTTTCTAGGAGGAACCGTCGTTCCCCACATGTTTTGCTGGATGCACCCTGGTTCGTGACAGCGCGGCTTTTTCCAGAGGCTTGCGCTTTCTCCAACGTTGGGCTGGCCCTGGCCATGCTCGGCCCCTTGCATGGATTTTTGCGAAGGGCTGGCGTGTTTCCAGGAGGAACCCTGGTATGGTGACCCCCTGCATTCACAATTTGCCCAGAGCCGATTCGCGTCCAAGCTCAATTTGGGCTTCCCCTACCTTTCCCCTCTCCTGCTTTCTCCCACATGGGGTTGGCCCTGGCCATGCTCGCCCCCCGCGTGGACTTTTGCGAAGGGCTGGCGTGTTTCTAGGAGGAACCCTGGTATGCTTGCCCCCTGCATACACGGTTAGGGGCCCTTTTGGGAGCACTCTTGGAGCATTCTTGGGCCGTCTTGGATGCGTTTTGGGCCGTCCGGAGGCCATCTTCGGCGTCTTCGAGCGATCTTTTGGCGACTCTGCGCCCTCTTGGGCCCATTTTGGATCATCGTGAACCTGACTTGCCGAAGGAGGGCCACATTTGTTCGAAGATGACCCGAAAATGGAAAGGGGGGAGCGGTATTCTGACCCGGGACCCCCCCAGGGACTCCCTCCGGGACCTCCCCAGGACCCCCCCTGGGTGGGGAAGGGATCAAAGGGAAGGGGCTTCCTTTCGACTCAATGACGACTTCGATTACGACTTCGGTCGATTCACTTCGAATTGACGAGCTTTCGCGCCAAAGAGGGTCTCGAGAGAGGCTCCGGGAATGGAAGAGCAAATCGAATGAAGGAGCATCTTTTACAGCCGCCCGTGGACGACGGACACAGAACTCCCCCTCACACACGCAGACGGGGTTGGCGGATTATGATGACGATGCTGCTGCTGCTGCTGCTGTTGAAGACGACGACGATGACGATGGTGGTGACGACGACGACGACGGAGAGTATGATGATGATGATGGTGATGACGATGATGATGATGATGATGATGCTGATGATGATGACGTTGGTGATGATGGTGAATATCAGATGGTGGTCCCGACGATGATGACGATGATGATGACGGCGATACTGGTGATGATGCCGGTGATGATGACGGCGATGACGATGATGATGATGATGGCGATTATGATGATGATGATGATGAGAATGCGAATGATTATGCTGACGATGATGATGATGATGATGACGGCGATACTGGTGATGATGCCGATGATGATGACGGCGATGATGATAATGATGATGATGGCGATTATGATGATGATGATGATAATGCGAATGATTATGCTGACGATGATGATGATGATGGTGATGATGGTGATGATGATGATGATGATGATGATGATGATGATGATGATGATGATAGTGGTGGTGGTGGTGGTGATGACGACGACGACGAGGACGAGGAGTTGATCAGGAGGTGTGCGAGGACGCGCGCACATAGTCACGATGCGATGAGGGGCGCGATGTGCCTGATGACGATGAGGAGGCGAAGCTGGAGGAGGAGGATGTCGAGAAGGGGGAGGCGGAGGAGCACGAGGAGCAGAAGCATGACCATGACGACGAGCACGACCGAGGGGGGGATGGAGGGCGGACGAGGGAAGCAAGAAAAAGGGGAGGCTGAAGAAGGAAGACGAAACGGGAGCGTGAAGGAAGGCTGAAAGGTTGGCACGCCGCCGTCCCTTTTCTACAGAGTGCGAGGTCGTGCATTCAATCTGCATTGGATCTGACGGGTGCGTACCACATGATACATGGAGGTAAGCTTCGAACGCGTCGAGTTTGATTCGCAATTCTTGAGGATTTACGTATCCCCACCAGCCCATCCAGAGACGACGCCCAGGCGAGTTGACGTGATCAGGGAAGTGAGAGATCTTGCAGAGGAGCAAAGGGCCGGAGAAACCGTCGTACCCCAAGAGGGGGAGGAAGGAGGAGGGCGAGTGGAGGAGGAGGAGGCTGAGGATGAGGGTGAGGAGGACGAAGGAGGAAGAGAACGTGGAGCAGGACGAGGAGGAGGATGAGGAGGAGGAGGAGGAGGTGGAGGTGGAGGAGAGGGAGGGGGGAGGCGGGAGGACGAGGAATAAGCGGATGATGATGGTGATGAGGAGGAGGAGGTGGAGAAGGAGGAGGAGGAGGAGAAGGAGGAGCAGGAGGAGGACGAGGAGGAGGACGAGGAGGAGGAGGAGTAGGTGGAGGAGAGGGAGGAGGGAGGCGGGAGGACGAGGAATAAGCGGATGATGATGATGATGATGAGGAGGAGGAGGAGGAGGAGGAGGAGGAGGAGGAGGAGGAGGAGGAGGAGGAGGGAGGAGGAGGAGAAGGAGGAGGAGGAGGAGAAGGAGGAGCAGGAGGAGGAGGAGGAGGAGGAGGAGGAGGAGGAGGAGGAAAGGGGCGACCAGCAAAGCCAGAAGCCTCGTGACTGCCTCTCGGAGTCTCTTCGGATGTCTCTTGGAAGCCTTTTGAAGGCCTCTTGAGGCGTCTGGGGGGCCTCTTGGCGGGCCCAGGGGCGTCTTTGCGCGTCTTTGGTACCTTGGGGAGCCTCGTGGGGCCTCTTGGGGGTCTTTTGGGAGCCTCTTAGAGGCCTTTGGAGCGCCTCTTGGGGTCTCCTGGGCGCCTCTTGGGGCCCTCTTGGGGCGCTTTTGGGAGCCTTGGGGGCGCAAATCTCGCCCCTCCCCGGGAGCACAAAAAACCGTCTCCTTGAATCTTCTTGGAGCGCTCTTGGGGCGCTCCTGGGCGCTCTTGGGGCCGTCTTGGGGCTCTCTTGGGCCACTCTTGGGGCCCTCCTCGGTCATCTGGGAGCCATCTTGGCTTCGGATGGCCCTCGGAAGCGAAAAGGCGAAACGGCGAATGGCCTGCGCCATTCCGAATTAGATGATTAGATGATTATTCATAATTAGATGATTATTCATGTGGCGTGCGCCAGGTATACAAGGTGGACCCCGAGGGGCCCATTCCACGTCTCACCGGTCACGAAGGCGCGTTAACGCCATGGGTTCCTCACCATTCCAACCTTCACGCGTAACGAGCGTGAGGCTGGGCCGTGATAGTAAAACCTAGGCCTGCGCGTTTTCACTTGCCGACATCCTTATTCGGGTGCAATGGTAGTATTTCTGCGAGGCAGCGGCTATAAAGAACGCGGGCGTGGCTGGCAGGATTCTTGCCCACGGGTGACCGATCCATCTCAGCAGCCTGTGGCTCAAGCGCCATCTGACCTTGCCTGATTCGTACGGCCGGCCTGCTATCGGTTCCATGGCATGTATCAGCACATCGGCTTCGGCCGCTCTCCAGGAGGCTCTGTATGAGAGCGGGTGCGACCTTCTGCTGCCTCCCGACTCCACTTCTGCCTTGCGGGATCGTCTCCGCGACCGCGGAATGGAGGCGTTCCCGTATGTCATTGCAAGTTTACGAAGGCTCTGCCCCGCATGCGGTGCCCATCTGACGCAGCAGGACATTTGTGGGCGTGGCAGTCCGGGCGCGCTGTGTTATGTGGTCGCTGAAAGCTCCCCCTTCCGGTGGTGCGACATATGTGCTCGCGCCAACAAGTCACGGGGAATTACATATTGGTGCGGCTTCAAGATGGTACCCACGTCGGGCTCCCGGGGAAAGTACAAGAAGGTCCTCGACGACGAGCACGTTCACCCGGACATATGGCTAGTAAACAAGAAGTTCGGCGTGACCGTGACTTGGCTTAGACAGTGGAGTGCGAGGTTATTCCTCCAACGATCATCATTTCACGGAGAAGCTGCGTTGCTGGAGCTTCTCCACGAAGGGTCCGTCCCGGTGGAAGCCCGGAAGTTGCTGTCTCAGGCGTGGGCTCGGTGGGTGCTTTGGGAGCGAGCAGGGCAATGCACCCCGTGCCGTCGAGGAGGGATTGTATCATCGATCCTCCAGGAGCCGCTGGGGAGGCTCATTTCCGAATCTTGGACGTGGCACGGCCCCCTAATGGCAGGGAAGCGCAAGAGTCAGTTCGGATCTTCAGGTGACCGGCCAGACATATTGGCAATTGATGGGAATGCTAAGCTATACCGTCGCACTTGTGGCATGCCGTTTGCGAGTACGGTTTGGTGCGGGGAGCTGAACAAATACCTTTTGCGGGGTTGCCCGAATTCCCCCGGCAAGAAAGATCCGCTGTGCTGCAAGCACGCGCGGGACCGGGACAACGCCCAGTTCGCCCCCCAGGAAAGCCACATGCAGATCGTGGCCCACCGAACAAAAAAGGCTTTGCACGACGGTAAGGACGCAAAGCACTTGGAGGTCAAAGTGGGCTATTGTGACATGTGGCAGCCCGCGTGCACTGTAGACGAGGCCCGCTCGTCGCATTTTTTTGCCAACCTAGCGCACAATAAAGCGGCCGCCTTAGTTTGCCATGCTTGCGTTCGGGCGGGCGGGGCGGCACGGGGGCCCCCCCAGGCGCGATCGCCCCGCGATCTGGCCAGGCCTTTTGCAGATCACCCCGGGGCTCGGCCCGGCTTCCGCGGGGGCCGCGCGCGCGGCGATCGGCGCTGTCCCTGCGCGCCACCAGGTGATGGAGCGGCGGAAGCGGCGCAAGGAGTTCCGCGCCGCCCGGTTTGTCGCCAAACTGAAGAGGAGGAGAGAGCGTTCATTCATGTCTTCGTGGAGTTCGTTGGGGCCGCGCCAGAAGTCGGAGTGCGGGACGCGTAAGGAGACCCCGAACCACATCGTGGCCGCTGCCCGGACTGGCGGCTTCCTCACGGCGGTTAGCGCTTCGGGGGCCATCGTCGACATCGACGAGTTAGTGGGGGTGGAATCCTTGTCCCAGCGATACCGCTTCTTGGCCGTGCTAAAGAGCCGGCACCCAGATTTGAAGGCGGGATTCGGGCCAAACCCTCTTCTTGCACCGGCCCCCCCCCCCCACGCCGCAACACCCTCCAAGCCTGGCCCCGTGGCCGCGGGGGGGCGTCCGATGGTTCTTGTCCCCGCCCCCGTTGCCTAGGTCATCGCCCACGACGACGCGCGCCATTTGCGCTCGATGGTGGAGGCGAACCGGGCCAGTTCTCCGATCGCCGAGGAGCTGGCGGCCGACGTCGCATGCATCGTCGACGAGTACCACGCGAGCGCGCACGTGGGGGCGTGGTGCAAGAAGCACTGCTTGCCATCTCTGCCGGAAAACCAGGCGCCCCTCCGGAAGTTCCCAACGAACATCTGCGAGGTGAAGAACTCGGACCTATCCCCCCTAGCTCATACTATCCATCACATGGGCCGCTGGATGTGCATCCTTGCCGTGGCGGAGATGGTGGACGTGAGCAACCGCCGCGTCCTCGCTCTTGCGGAGGCGCGTCGCGGCGTTGAGCGGAGGAAGGTGGCTCGGGCAAAGAAGAAGGCGCAGGAAAAGCTCTGCGCCGCAGAGCGCGCGGCGGCTTTTAGCAGCCGCTGACGGCCGCTTCCGGCCTCGCCTGCGCTGGCGGCCAGACCGACGCGGGCCGCGGATTATGAGGGCTTGTCGCCCACAGCTGCCCCCCTCATCCTCACCTACTTTTTCCGTTCCCTCCCTTTCCCCTCTGGCTAGTCTCGGAACGCGCCTTCCGGCTCGGCGCGGGGCTTCTTATGACGTGGAGACCGACATCGGAGCACTAGTTCGTTGCTTCAGACCCATCAGCGTAGGGCTCGTGACTACTCGCCGTGCCTCCGCTTTCTCCCGCCCCCCTCTCTTCGTCCTTCCCCCCTCCCTCCCGTTCATTCTGGCAGTTGTCCCTGGGCGGCCAGCGACTCGCGCGATCGTGTCAGCGGTGGGCCTGCAAACATAGATTGCCGCCCGCTTCAGGTTGCATGCCCGCGGCCGCATTTCGGCCACGTGCGTAGGACAGTGTCTGGAGCATTGAGATTGTCCTGGCTCTCACGTAGTGATACCCCCTCCTATGCACCCTCCTCTTCCTCCTCCTCTCTCCTTTTCGTGCTTTCTGACCATTCCCTTGGCGTGCATGGCGCGCACGCAGACGCGCGGCCTACGCGCGCAGCGCGTATGAAGCCCTCGTGACTGCATTGGCGCAGCGCGACCGCGGCCCTGGGAATGCCGGGCGCGCGAGTTTTAAAAGGGTGATGTTGCTTGGATTCGCTCACGCTGCAGGCACTTGCCGCGCGCGACGTTTTAGTAGGCCACAGTTTTTTCACGCCTGGGCCGACGGCGGGGAAATGCTTCTCCCGCGTCGTCCGTGGCGGAATATACGGGGCGGCGGTTCACGCGCGCATTGAGTTTGGAATAAAAATCGCAGGGAGAAAAAGGGGAGACCGGCCGTTCTATATCCAAGACGCCAGCGGTGAATCAACGCAGCCCCATGCCATTTTGGGAAGCGCCCCCTCGCGGCCCCACGTTGGGCCCCAAAATCGCCCAACCTATCGGACTATGTATTCCTCCAGCTGTTCTGGAAACTCTACAAGGGGGACCTTTGGGAGAGGATGACGGGGAATATCAGGAGGAGGAAGAGGAGGAGGAGGCGGCGGAGGAGGAGGAGGAGGAGGAGGAGGAGGAGGAGGAGGCGGAAGAGGACAAATAATACAAGGAGGTGGAGGAGGAGGCCTCTTTGGAGCCTCTTGGGCCACTAGTGAAGCTTCCTGGGAGATTATTGGGGGCCTCTTGGAGGTCTGTTGGGGGGGGGGGTATCCTTGGGCCTTTTCGTGGCCTTTTGGGGTTTCTTGGGCGCCTCCTTCGCCGTATTACGGCGCTCCTGGCCTGCAGGGCGCCGTCGGAAGCCGTCTGGGGGGCCTTTCTGAACCGACTTCGGGCCCTGTTGTGGTGCTTTGCAGGGCCGTCTGGAACGCTATCGTGGGCGTCTTGGGGGCTTTTTGGCCCGTCTTGGGGCCCTCTGAGAGCCGTCGTGGGGGCCTCTTGGGACATCACGGGGCCATATTGAAGGTGTTTTGGCGATCTGGGAGCGACCTTGGGGTTGGGCCGTCTCGGGCCGTCGGAAGGCCCATATATATATAAAAGAAAAAAAAAAAAAAAAAAAAACGCTGATTTGGGCATGTTCGGGTCCTTTTATGGAGGACCTCTTCTCCCCAGGCCGTCTTGGAGGCCTATTGGGGGCCTCTTAGGCCGTCTTGGAGGCTTCTTGGGCGGGTTTGGAGGCATCTTGGACTCTCTGGGGCCAACTTGGAGGCAATCTTGGACCCTCTTGGGCCGTCTTGGAAACAATCTTGGATCTTGTTTGGCGACCTTGGAGGCCTTCTGGGGGCCGTCTTGAAGGTTTCAAGGGCCGTCATGGGATCATCTTGGAGGCCTTGAAGACCATCTTGGGGCGATCTTGGGGGCCTTTTGGGCCGTCGAAATGCCGAAAAGAAACAAATGCCCAAATCCTTCAAAAGCTTATGGGAAATCAATGATGTTGGCTTCTTCGGGTCCTCCTGGGGGATCGCTTGGAGGCCTCTTTGGCCGTTTTGGAGGCCATCTCGAACCACTTTGGGCGAACTTGGAGGCCCTCTTGGGCCTGTCTTGGAGGCTTCTTGAGCCGTCATGGGCTCATCTTGGAGGCGTTCGGTGCCATCTTGGGGAGATATTGGGGGCCTCTTGGGCCGTCTTGGGCTTTCGGAAGGCCGAACAGAAGCAAATGCCAAGCTCCTTCAGCAATTTCAGGAACATCAATGCGTTTGGCCTCTTCGGGCCCTCCTGGAAAACCTCTTGGAGGCCGTCTTGGAGGCCTCTTGGGGGCCTCTTGGGCCTTCTTGGGCGGACTTGGAGGCATCTTAGACCCCTCTTGGGCCATCTTGGAGGCCATCGCGGACCTTCTTGGCCGAACTTGGAGGCCATCTTGGCCTTCTTGGAGGCCATTTTGACCCGTCTTGAGGGACTTCCTTTCTGACGTTGAAGTTGTTTGCGTGGCCTTCCGGGTGGCCGGCGGCATCGGCCGAATGCTTTTTAGGGTCTCATCGGAGCGCTCTCGGGGGCTTCTGGGTAGCAGTTTGGGGGCCTCTTCGGGGCGCCTTGGGGGTGGTCTTTTGGGAGCATATTGGGGGCTTTTTGGTCTATTGGGGGGCCGCTTGGCGGCCTCTCGGGGCCGAAGTCTGGAATGGTCCGTTCGGATCCCCCGTGCGGGCCCCCTTGTTGGAGCCGTCTTGGGTGCTTCTTGGGCAGTCTTGGAGGCTCCTCACGCCGTCTTGGCGCCCTTCGGCCCTGTGGAGCGTGAGGCCTCTTGGGGCGATCTTGGGGACCTCTTGGGCCGTCTTGGAGCGTCGGGAAGCCGAACAGGCGAGAACGCCACAAAATTTCAACAACTCATGGGAAATCATCGACTTTTGCCTTTTGGGGCCCTCCTGAGAGTGCTCTTGAAGAGGCCTGTTGGGGCGTCTTGGAGGCCTCTTGGACCGTCCTGAGGCCATCTTGGGCGTCTTTGACCGGTCGTTTGGCGACTCGGACCCCTCTTGGGCCGTCGCGGCCTCTTCGGGCCTTATTGGCCCGTCTTCAGGCCTTCTTGGCTTCGAAAAAAATACCCCAGTGCGACCCTACCTAGAAGTTGGAGCCCCTAGGAAAGCAGCATTAGTTGCTGTGCTATGCGTTGCTGTGCCATGATATGCTGCGCTATGCTATGCTATGCTGTGCTGTGCTATGCTATGCTATGCTGCGCTGTGCTATGTTATGCTATGGTAAGCTGTTATATGTTTTGCTGCGCTGTGCTATGCTATGCTATGCTATGCTATGCTATGCTATGCTGCGCTATGATAGTGCTATGCTATGCTATGCTATGTCATGTTGCGCTATGCTATGCTATGCTGCACTGTGCTGTGCTGTGCTGCGCTATGCTATGCTATGCGATGCTATGCTGCGCTGTGCTAGGCTGTGCTGTGCTGCGCTATGCTATGCTATGCTATGCTATGCTATGCGTTGCTGCGCTATGCTATGCTGTGCTCTTCTATGCTAAAGCTAAGATACACCTGAGCTAAGATGAAGCCAAGCTAAGCGAAGATGAAATAAGCTAAGCTAAGATGAGATAAACAACGCTAAGCTAAGGGATTGTCACTGGGGGAACCGCGGGGCGGATCCTGGGGGAACCGCCCGGGGCGATTTCCACTGCCCGGCCCCTTTAAGCTAAGAGGGCAAGAACCCTTCTAGGCAGAGCCGAGGTAGGGAACATGTGACAACACTCGGGGAGCCCCAGGAGACACGCGAGAAGCCCCGGGAGATTTGAGAGCTGCGGGTCCGGGCTCCGTTCTATTGATTCTTTCACGACTCAGGAGAGAGTACGCACCGGAATTTGGGAACACTGAAATCCGCGCCTCGCGGCACGGTGGCGAATATGGAAGTCATGGTCTCCGTGTGCTTCCGGTCTCTTGGCAAATCTCCTTGATGGAGCGCCCCCCCCCTCTCCACACCTCTCTCCTGTTTTCTCCCCTCTTTCCCTCCCCCACTTCGCCCCCCCCCTCCACCGATACCTCATCACCGTTCGCAAACGAAAGAACCCCCAATGTTGAGAGTTCCCCCCTTCTCCCACCCTCCCTGCCCCCCGACCTGCTTCCCCCCGTCCCTCACCGCCTCCTGCCCTTTGCCACCGGCACTTCATCTACGTGCCCTCGACGGATGTACGTCCTCCAATGCTGAGTTTATCCCTCCTCCCTTCAGCACTCTCCCTCCATTCCCTGTATCCCCCTCCTCCCCCCCGCCCGAAGAGGAAGAAAAACAATGTCTCTAAAAGAGGCCACACAGAACGTGTTAGGCAACAATTTGTTAGGCCACCTACGCCTAGATGGTCGGTGGAATTCGCAGCGCTCACCATTGCAGGACGCCCTGTTCAAACCACACAGGGCAAGGCATCCACTCGCAGCGTTGCAAAATTGAAGCGGTCAAGCCCGATTGGTTCACATATACACTGATACCCCGAACGGCTGGGATCTATTGGGCCGCCTGGTTCGCATTCGCAGTGGTCGGGGGGGGGGGTCATCTATGCTACCGCTTTTGTTCACACTCGAACTGTTAGCTTCGAGTACGGTGTCTGGCGTCGTGTGTCTCACATTTACACTGGTAGCCCTAGTGGTTTCCATGTGTCGCGCCGTCCTGTGAACATTCACACATGTACCGGGCCGGAGCGGTTGCGATCTATCGGGCCGTGCTCGCTCATAGCTCTGGCGCGGTGTCGGCGATGGTCGAAATCAGAAGTTCTCAGGAATACCTATCGCCCCATTGAGGCCGCCAGCCGTGTGAAGTCTTCGTTGACGGCGGTGGCATCGTCCCCCGGCCATTATCTTGCCACGGCCAACCTCTCCAATGCATCCGCTTCTTCTTTGCATTCTGTCTGTCCCACTTACCCTTTCCGAAGCCCGTTTCTGAAGCCCTGGCTGCGCCGTCGCCTCGCCGCGCGCGGTCTCGCGCAAGTTCGGCTGCCTTCTGTCGGCAGCCATGCCGAAGACCCCGCCCCCCGAGCTCACCGCGGCCGAGATCCGCGCGCTCATGGACGCCGCGCAGCAGAAGGTCGACGAGAACTTCAACGCTGCCGAGCACTTGCCAGAAGCCGTGTATAAACTCATCCACCCAATAGCGACCACCACGTGCCAGGGCTTTTATTCCACGACGATGATGTTGCTGGGCGCCGCCCCGGCCTTGACGAACGGCGCCCGCGTCAAGCTGTGGTCGCAGAAAGCGTGTCCTCTCACCGCGGTCGTCATCCAGGTGGCAGTGCCGCAGAAAGGCAAGAGTCGTCTGCATCCCGTCATCGAGGAGATGTTCGACACCTGCGACGACGCGGTGGCGGACCTGGCCCAGCACATGTTCAACGAGGCTCGCGAAGGGAGGCAAGACGCGCACGCCAGCGTCGGCGGGGAACTCGTAGTGAATACTGCCGCCCTCCAGAGTTTTACGTTCCCGGAGTTTTTCTTCAGGTGTTCTGCTGCGTGCAAGCAGGTCGAGTGCAAGGTTGGGGATGAGAAGACTGACCCAGGCATCCCGGCCAGGGTCTGGTTCGGCAACGGTTTCAACCTGGACGAGGCGTACGAGTTCTTTGACGGTTTGGGCCTCCTCGGTAATGCGACCAAAGACAAGGACAAGACGCCCTCCTTGAACGCGTCGTTGCTGAATTCGCTGTTGCAGTCTGGCAAGACCAGGAGGGCGACGCGCACATGCACCAATTTCGGCATGTCGAGGGACAAGACCGTGTCCATCTCCATTCTCGGCAACGCCCACCCCGACAAGGCCATTCCCATGGACCGCGGTTGTTTGGGCTCCCACACGGCGGCCACGAAAGAGCGATTTGTGTTTTGCCTCGACCGCGCGGTGCCTCGACGCGCGCCTTTGCCCGAGGACTGCGAGCTCGAAGCTGGTGATGATGGGCGGGCGTGGCTGCCTCTCACGGCCCAGCAAGCCGCGGTCTACGGGTGGGATCACTTTAAGGACGACCCCGCAGCGGCGATTCGCGCTGGGCTTCAGGTCGACGATCGCTCTCAGCCTGCTCCGTGCGAGGGCGGCCTCGTCATCCAGGGGCCTCCCGGCGGCTACGTCGTCTCGTTCCCTGACGGCCACCAGAGTCGATTGCGGTACTTGTGCCGTCCAGACGGCGGGCTCGTCGCCACCGAGTACCGCATCTCCTCGCGTTGGAATCTGCCTGGCCCCGCGGACCACATCAGGGCGGCGGCTCGGCGCATTGCTGAACTATTCAAGGATAAGCCGCACGCCGTGCTCGAGTTCGAGAGCCGCGCCAAGAAGATCCTCCTGGGCAACCAGGTGGCGCAGAGCAATCGGGCTGACATGTGCGAGGATGACGTTCCCACTGCCGCCCTCCATTCAAAAGCCGCGGAGCACGTGGGCATTTTCGCAGGGCTCCTGGCTGTCCTGGAGCACGGCGGGGGCGCCCCTCTGCCCGAGGGCCACGACGTCGTGCTGATCACGGAGGACCACGTGGACACGGCGTGGCGCTGGGTGAACACAAGCCTCCTCATTCGGGAGGCCATGGCGCGCGGTGCCCCCCGTTGAGGATGATGACTTGGCCGCGCCCGGTTTCGGCCTCGCGGATGCTATCCGCGGCGACTACCAGCCGGGCCTGTACGCGCCTGCGCTGCCGACGCAGCTCCCGCCATTCCCCGCGCCCGAGCTCGCGGGCGGCGCCAGCGGCGGCCCCGCCGACCCCCTCTCCCCGGCAGACGACGAAGAGGATGGGGCAGAATTGGCTTCGCGCGGCGACGGCGCCGGGGGGCCCCCCCGCGGCGCGCCGCCGGGGCGCGCTGGAAGCGAGGGCTCGCAGCCTGCGGAGAGCCCGCGCTCGCCGAGGCCGGAGGGGGAGGAGGAGGAGGCCGCCCTCGCCGACCTCGCGAGAGCCCGCGCCGAGGGCGAGGGGCAGCCGCCTCAGCAGCAGCACCAGGCGCCCCCTCTGGCGGCCGCTGCCTCCCCGCCGGCGGCCGCTGCCAGCGCCCCCGCGCCGGGCGCCGGAGAGGAGGCGGCGCCTTCGCCGCTCGCGGCCCCGCTCTGCTGGGGGGACGTGGAAACGGAAGCGAACTTCGACAAAGTGGGGCTGGGCCCCAGCGGTAACATGATATTTTCCGTTGACCCCGGCGCGACGACTCCCTTCTTGGACAGGGCCTTCGTCCACCAGTGCTTGCTTTCTGGCGCCGCTCGGGCCAAGTTGGGAAGCCTGGTGGACAACTATTCCGCGGCCAGTTGCGACCCGGGCGAGGGCGCGGAGAACGCTGCCCGCAAGCGCAAGAAGCGCGTGCGCCCTTCGCGAGATGAGGCCCGCGACGTGCTCCAGGCCGCATTTGCGCAGTTCCCTCGCCTGGGCGGCTTCCTGGACGACGCCATGAACGAGGTGGAGTTCCGGGCGTGGCCAGAGTCCCAGCAGGGACAAGTTTTGTTCCACAACGAACTGATGCGGTGCTGCCGCGTGGCCTTGCGGGACCTGGCCGCCCGCAGGGCAAAGTGGAGCGGCCGCTCTGCGCGCCCAGCGCCCGGCCAGGCTGCGCGCGAGGCCCAGCAGACGCCAGCGGAGCAGCCCGCGCAGCCGACCGCGCAGCAACCCCCTCGCCGCAGTCAGCCCGCGCAGCAGCCCTCTCGCCGCAGCGCGGCTGCGGGGCGCGCTGGCCCGGCAGCGGCGGGCCCCAGCAGCCGCGGCGATGCGCCTGGCGGCGCCGTGCGCTCCCTCGCCGGCGACCGGGGGTCTGCGTCCGCCGCGGCGATGAGCCGTTGGAGCGTGCCGCCGGGCCCAGTGAGGCCCCCCCCCCTGACGGCGTTTCACAGCGCGCTTGACGACGTTCGGTAGAAGGGCGGCCGGGCCAGCGCGCCGCCGAGGGACCGGGTGGACCAGAGCTGTCGCCGTTATCGGTTATACAGCCCTACTACAGAAGATGTTGCACACAGGTTTCTTACCCAGTGCGTCGTGGCAAATTATCCCAGTGCGACCCGACCTGGGGGTTGGAGCCTCTAGGTATGCTATGCTATGTTATACGATGCTGTGCTCTATTATGTTATGCTATGCTATGCCTAGGCTATGCTGTGCTATGCTATGCTATGCTGCGCCATGCTATGCTGCGCTGTGCTATGCTATGCAATGCTATGTTGTTTCTTTGCCTTCGCTTTGGCCTTCACTTTTGCCTTTGCTTTTGCTTTTGCTTGGCGCCCAGGGAGCGCAACTGGGGGAGCCGCGCGTTTGCTTTTACCTTTGCTGTTGCTTTCGCTCGGCTCCCAGGGGGCCGGGGGAACCGCCCGGGGCGGTTTCCACTGCCCGGTTTTTTTAAGCTAAGAAAGTAAGAGCCCTTCTAGGCAGAGCATGCGTAGGGAATAAACAATTGCGTCAACTGAAGCCGTGCGTCGGTGGACGCTGCGCCATGCGGCAAACCGCCTTTTGCATGTGCTGTTCAGCCAGTCCACGCTTAGACGTTGACGAACCGATTTTACATTAGACAGCCACTGTGTCATGGCGAAGACTCGCACGTCGTGAGTGGAGATTTGTATTTTGCCCGTAACCCAGCGTTACGAAGGTTCGCATGTCGCGAACGATACATTTCAATGTACGAACGACGGCCGTTTTGCGTGAAGGTTCATGCCCGCGCTGCGTCACCTGACTGCCTTCAGCTCACGTCGTTTTTTAGATCCGCCCCAACAGTTTCGAGGTTGCCACCCATGTGTAGCTGTTCGCTCTGCGTTTCGCCCAACCGCTTGTTCTGTGCGTTCGCAGCATCGGCCCGCATCGGAAGAGAAATATCAAGAGGAGGAAGACGACAACGAAAAGGAAGGCCGTCACATGTGACACCTTTCGCATACACATTTGCAGAGGCCACATGGACCTCATTGGGTCCATCATTGGTCTGTCCTGGGTTCCTCAGGAGTAGTCTTTGGTGTCCCTTGGGGCCTTACTGGGCTGTCTTAAGGCCCCCTTGTGCCGTCCTGGGGCTCTCTTGGGGCCTGAGTGGCCGTCTGGGGGTTCTTTTGGGGCCGTCGTGGAACTGTCTTTGTCGGTCGGTTCTTCTTGGGCCGTCTTGGGTTCTTCCAGAGGCCTTGTGGGGCCACCTTGAGGCCCTCGTGGGTCCGTCCTGGGCTTTCCAGGGGCCCTCTTGCGCTGTCTTGAGGTTGTGTTTGGGTTTTCTTGAGGCTCTCTTGGGCCGTCGTGCGGCCATCTTCGAGCCCTCTTGGGCCGTTTTGGGCTGACGAAAGCTAGAAACGGCGGTAATGCGATGATGTTTCGAAAGCTAGAAAGAAACAGTGACCATGATTTTGCCGTCTTCGGGCCTTCCTGGGGGCTCCCTCCCTCGGAGCCCTCTTGGGCCGTCTTGGAGGCTTCTTCGTCGGTCGAGGCCATCTTGGGCCATTCTGGATCTCTCTTGCGCCGTTTTGGAGACATCTTGGGCCATCTTGGCCATCTGGGCGGCTTTGAGCGCCAGGGAGGTGTGATGAAGCTCGGGGAGCCTCGGGAAGCGGGGGCCTTTTAGTCGCCCCCCCAAGCCCGACGAGGACGAAAAGAGGAGGGAAGAGGACAGAATGAGGAGGAGGAGGAGGAGGACGACGACGACGAGGAGGAGGAGGAGGAGGAGGACGAGAAGGAGGAGGAGGAGGAGGTAAGAGGATGTGGCCCTCCGTCGGCCGTCTAGTTTTCAAAGCGACAGAAGAAGTCCTACTCATGGCGAGGGCTCCAACGTTCCGGCTGGCGGCCGGCGGCGGCCGGAGATGCCTCACGTCGCCCTCCTTCTTCTCCCTCCTCGTCGTCGCCCCCGTTCTTGGTGGTCCTGGTGTTCGTCCTCCTCTCGCTCCTTCCCCACAGGACACTGGTGGGGCCATCGGGGGGGGCATCCAGGGGGGCACGCCTGTAACGCACTCGCGTGCCAGCTAAACGATGCACCAGATTTCTATGTCCCGCCCGATCCAATCGGCCCGTCAGGGTTCTCGCGTGCCCGATTGATGACGCACCATCTTTTATTGTCACGCCCGCCCGCCCCGCCCCGCCCGCTTGGGTTCTCGCGTGCCAAGCACATGATGCACCGTACTTTCATGCCCCGCCCGCGCGACCTGGGTCCCCCCGCTCGGCCCGAGCCGTTCGTCAAGGTGATCGCGTGCAAAGCAGATGGTGCACCGTACTTTAATGTCCCGCGCCCGCCCGACCCGACCCGACCCGCCCGCTAGGGTGTCGCCCGCCCGACCCGCCCGTGAGGGCTCCCACGTGCCTCGCACGTCAGTCACTAGTTGACTAGCGCACTCCATTGGTCTCCATGGGACTCCGATGCTCTCTTCTTGAGCCCATAAGACCCCAGTGGGCTCGCAGTCAAGAAGGCACCGGGAACTGGGAACCGGGAAGGCTCTGGGAAGCGGGATCAGGAGCCCGGAGCCGGCAACCGGAAACCGGAAACCGGGAGCCGGGAGCCCACAGCCGGGAACCGGGAACCGGGATGCGGGGACCAGGCAGGAACCTGGCTCTGGCAGCTATCTATGGGGCCGCGAGGACCCACAGGACCCGGGACCCAGGAACCAGGAACCCGGAGCCAGGAGCTGGGAGCTGGAAGCAGGGAACCGGGAACCGGGAACCGAGACCCGGCCGGAGGCCAGGAGCCGGGAGCCCAGAGCCCGGAGCCTGGAGCCATGGCTCCAGGCTCCGGGCTCAGGTCCCGGGTCCCTGCCATGCATGGCAGGGACCCGCCGGGTCCCGGTTCCCGGCGGGAACCGGGAACCGGGAACCGGGAGCCGGGAGACGGGAACCGGGAACCGGGAACCAGGAACCGGGACCCGGGAACCGGGAACCGCGGGAACCGGGAAACCCGGGAACCAAGCCCCCGGGAGCCGGGAACCGGGAACCGGGAACCCGGGAACCCGGGAACCGGAAACCGGGAACCGGGAACCGGGAACCTGGGAACCGGGAACCGGGAACCGGGAACCGGGAACCGGGAACCGCGAACCGGGAACCGGGAACCGGGAACCGGGAACCGGGAACCGGGAACCGGGAACCGGGAACCGGGAACCGGGAACCGGGAACCGGGAACCGGGAACCGGGAACTTGGCGACTAAAACACCTTACTTTACGCATTCGCAGCCACAGTTCGAGTTATACATGTGGACCAGCAAGTACATATGCCACCATTCAGCTCTACATGACCAGCTACTACCTTTGCGGAAGCCATCGTGCCTTTCCCGATGGTCTTTTCACATGCTGTCCCAATACCGTTTTCATTCATTGGATCGCGGCGCCCTGGTTGCCACGGCTGGTTGCCTGCTTGACCGTGATTGTGACGAGCAGGGTTAAGTTGACATAGAATTTGTGGTTGACTTGGCCCAGACAAAGAAGGCTACGATGTGTTGTGCGATGCGTGTGTAAACAAGGAGGGAAGCGGAGCCCGCTCTCGCTAGCTGTGACCACGTGATGGTTGAAGTCGCGCATCGTTTATATCTATATACATATATATATATATATATACAAGATTGTATGGCGGCTCGCTGCGCTTCGCCTTATAACATCGATCCTTCCACCTACAAGTTTGGTGGGCTCTGCGGTTAGCATA